TTTTATTATTATGTTATGTTAATCAGCATACATTACATCATTAGTTTTTGATGTAGTGTTCCATGATTCATTGTTTGTATATAACACCCGGTGCTCCATGCATAACGTGCCCTCTTTAATACCCATCAGCAGACTAACCCATCCTCCCACCCCCTCCCCTCTAGAACCCTCAGTTTGTTTTTCAGAGTTCATCATTTCTCATGGTTAATCTCCCCCTCTGATTTTCCCCCTTCATTCTTCCCCTCCTGCTATCTTCTTTTTTTTTTTTGAATAATATATATTCTGAATAGAGTTAAGGCACAAATAACTTTAGAGGATCTGTAGTGTTAAGAATTAACATCGATATGGTTAATTGTAAAAAGATCACTTTATGTTTTTGAATTATATTACCTAATATTCTAACCCATTTAAGAGACAAAAATTAGAGACATTTTAAAACGAGAACTAATTCTGGAGAAACAAAAATTTAAAATTTTAAAATAATAAAATAATAATGACCTTTATCCCATGGGAAAGAAATTGTTTTATGTTAAATTTAACAGTTTTCCTTGTTGGTAAATGAGCTGAGAAGGTGGTACTCCAGAAAATCCACAGTAAATGTGATATGAATGTTAATGCTGCCAGTTGGGGTTACTCCAGAATTTGGGGTATAGAGCATCTCTTGGAGTTTCTGGGCCCAGGAAAAGATCTGATAACTGAGGGGAGGCCCCAGGCAAGCTGGACAGAGCTGATTAAACGGGTATGTGAAGCACAGATCTGCCTAGTGCCGATAACCTTGACCCATACAAGAACCCTGCAAATTACTCCCGCCCTTGCAAAAGGGAAGGTAAGACTCCTCTCTGATGAAGTCGGGGGTGCACTTCAGCTTCGTCTGCAGCTGCTCAGCACTCACTCACCTACAGAGCAACATATAATTTTAAAGATAGAGGGCTCTAAATCTCCACTGCATTCGAGTCAGAGTCTCTATGTTGTCAGAGCCAATGAGCATTCTTGGAAAACTATAAAAGTAGCAAGAAGGTCAGGGTTCCAAGTGTTAAACCACTAGGATCTAAGATGTTCTCATCATGTCCCTCTGTCAACCCCAAGGGCACCCTGATCCTCGCCCCAACGTGGTGGTGCTCAGGGGACTACAGTGACTTGATCAGCCTAGAAGGACTCAGAAGATGGGGCGGCGCTGAGCCTCAAGGGCAGCTGCTGGACTAGCAGCTAGAGTGCAGCCAGAGAAGCTTGTCCCGTGAGTCTCTTCTGGCTGAAATGGCTGAAAACTCAAAGAACACTGGGTTATGATGCATAAATCTCTTCCCTGACTCTTGCGCACTTCCACATTGCTCCCTGCTCTAAAGACTATTGTTCTTACCTACTTTTATTTTATTATTTCATGGTGACCAATCCTACTGATGGGGACCTGTTATTTCTTTGGTCATAAGGTTATCACAGGGTTGGCACCATTGGTGAGAAGATTCTGGAATGGGACAACCAGAGATGTTGATGAATTAAGAGAAGCTTAGCTAGAGCAGATAAAGAACAGGGTGGCATGATGGTGATGCTCACAGGGACCTGACTCTTTGTTTGCATATGTACAAACCAAAAGCCATGGGATGGGATGCCTCTCAGAGCCTACCTCTGTTCACAAATAAAAATAGGGATGGTAATACCTGCTTCACAGAATCTTCTAAAGATTAGAAATTAATGTGAATCAATCATGTCAACATAAAAATTATATGTACATTAAGATAATTGATGGTGATTCTTATCTCTTAGATAAAGATTCTTTTCAAAGATTTTACTTATTTATTTGAGAGAGAGCACGAGTGGGGGTGGGGGCAGGGGCAGAGGGAGAGGGAGAAGCAAGCTCCCCACTGAGCAGAGAGCTTGACCCCCTGGGCTCTGGGATCATGACCTGAGCCAAAGGCAGATGCTTAACCAACTGAGCCACCCAGGCGCCCCTCTCTTAGATACTAAGATTTTAGAATGTCTTCTCCCCACCCCAATTCCATCAGAGGTTCCTTGGTGCATGTGATATAATTCATTCTCTAAGAGTTGTGTTCCTGCCTTTAATACTCCAGTATATTTGAATATAATGAAATAATATGGAAAAGTAAAGCAATACTAGACTTTCAAGAAAAGAATTTAAAGCTCTCTTAGTTGAAGGAGAGAGAAGAGGGGAACCAGAAATGTAGAACCCAGCTCTACTCTAGTGGAACATGAAGCTGGGGTATATAAGTTGGAATCACACTAGGATGAAGTGTGGGGAGCATATCTAGCTCGGGTAGTCCTCTGCTTTGTAGGAGGACCCGAAGCCATCCTACTATTTTCTTTTTGTTTATTTGTTTCATTTTGTAAAGTTGCCAAAAAGAACTATGCCTTTGGAGAAGAATTTCAGCTTCCCTTTCTCTCCATTAAAAGTAATTCATAAAACAGGATGACTTTTATCCAACATTTTAGAACTCTGTCCTATTTTCAAAAATTTTGCGATTTCATTAGTTTGTCAAACAAGGTATCCTAATTTTTGCTTCATGAAATACAAATAAACACACATATATGTTACTTCCTTCATTCCTTCCATTTGAATGATTAAGGGTACAGCTAAATCAGATTTTTAAAAACCCAATCTATAAAGCCAGGAATAAAATTTGCTTCCTATTTTGGCAAAGGCTCTACAGAGAGATTTAGGATATCTTGTTAATTTAAAGGCTGTTAAAAATCTGCAGCTGGGTTTTCATGAAGTTGTTGAGTTGTATTTCCCAGAGATAGGTTGGACAAGAACCTGTGTATGCCCTAAATTCCTGTCATTCTGCAGAGTCCAAAGATTGGGTGATCCAGAGTTCCATCCTGATTTACCATTCTCAGACATGGACTCTAAGACTAATCAAAGAAACACAACAGAATTTTAACACAGCCAGTTTATCTTACATCTATAACTGTGTTTTTCTTTCTAATTTTCATTTAAAAACCTGACTTTTATGTTTTATGGAGTCTTATTGAGAAACTTTTGGAGCCACGGTCTCTCTGAACTGCTGAATCACCCAGCATCTGTGGAAGTTAGCAGCTCCTTCGGCTGGACCTGTCGTCTCCTGAAGATAACGTGTGGACCTGTCTCCTGAAGATAACGCGGACTGTAGCTGGCGGGATTCCCGCCCCAAGGTTCTTTTTTGACTCTTCTACATATGTAATGTTTCTTTCATCTTTATCTGAAGAAGACTAGACAATTTCATGAGAATTGTCTCTCTTTGTCTTCTTCCTCTCTCTTTTGGATACATTTTATCTTGCCAGGTTCTTGACCTTTCCAAAAAGTGAAGCACTTTCCAAAGGAAACTGTGAGTACAGAATTCTTTGTAGTACAATTTGTCACTGATACAATTAGGAAAGCTGTCTCTTTTGAACTTTCTGCACTGTATTTGATAGAATCTATAAGAATTGCTTCTTGGCTTTTAAGAATTAGAGAAGCTTAATTTTAACTCTTTTTGTAATATTTCAGTTTAAAGAATGACCTTGAGCTTGTGGCTACACAGCATCAAAATCTAGCAATGACCTGTTTACATGGGTTCATATAGAGAACAAATAGGTAACTTGGAGCAAAATAATACACAAGCAAGATTTGGGCTCCTTAGAATGATTTGATTCTGTAGCCAAACTAATAAAGGCCATCCACAAAGTGGCAATTATATTTGGGGAGGAAGAAGATGAAAATTTGAACTTGGTATTCAGTGTTCTGGCTGAGGTAAGCTAGGGGAAACTGTGCCCATATCCAGATGAATGAAGGTAAGCCCTATGGAGATTTCAGAGGATATTGCCCCAAAAAGGTCAGATTCCACTTATGTCGTTTAACAGTATAACCTTTTACATTGAAAAAGCCAATTATTGGGATGCTAATAATTTGAAATTTATAACAGTTGGATAAAGGATGTGCTGAACTTTTTATTTGTAGTGTTTCTGAATAAAGCAAATAAAAAGGGTGAACAATATATGAGCCATATTTTATGTAAAAAAACAAACATTTCCAAATGTTTGTGTATGCCATTCATTAAGTTTATTACAAACCATGTTTAGTTATTCATTAGATTAAATTCAGAATGATCAGTGCATGTCAACACTTTTTTAACCTTTGAAAAGAAAATAAAATTACATCTCTTTTTTATTCCTCTGAAATGGGTGATTTTGCTAATTCAAACTTGTCTCCCATCATTCATCCAAATTAATTCTATTTATAGAACTTAGTAAATGTAGTCACACATTTATGTGAAAAGTTGGAAAAATGTTCTGAATGATATAGAATTATTAGCCTAAAGGGTAGCTACATGTGATTGAAGTTATGTAAATATCCTAGAGCCCTTGTGACAACAGGCTTTTACAGGCTTCAAGACATACGAATGTAAGTTCAACACGAGTAAATGCCTTGGGACATAGAAAAGGGACATCACAGAGATTTGAGAAAATTTTTAACTTTCAGGCTATGGAGAGCGGTGGACCGAAGGTGCTGGAAACAGCGGAGGAGATCCAGGAAAGGCGTCAGGAGGTGTTGACTCGCTACAAGAGGTTCAAGGAGCTGGTTGCTGAGAGGGGTCAGAAGCTTGAAGATTCCTATCACTACCAGGTTTTCAGACGAGATGCAGATGACCTAGAGAAGTGGATCTTGGAGAAACTCAAGATTGCAGATGATAAGAGCTATGAAGACCCAACTAACATACAGGTACTCCGTTCCTGTGACTTCCCCAGAACAGACTCTAAGATCTCCAGGGAGGGAAACATTCTTGTAATGTAAGTGCGTATTTAGTTAAATGTCAGGACATAATGTCATAGAAAGGGCAGACTACCTGTTAGGGACCATAATTCTGCCTCTAAATGGCCTGTGTCTTTAACTTCTTAAGCCCATGTCTTATGTACAGAGGAAACTCACTCTGTGACTGTATTCTTAGTCTGAAGTTAAGCTATGGGCATAACAGTGACTGAGAGTTCAAAGAAGTTATGACACACCAGGCAGCTTTAATATTTTGAGGTGAAGAAATGTCAGTGCTTTCACTCTGCTCAGGAGAGTAGTTCAGTGGAATTTTTCCTGGGTTTCTACCAAGGGGCTATCGTGCCCTTGCTCAGTCCACATGACAGGTGTAAGGAGGAGAGCTTGGGTGGAGGCTCCTCTCCTCCTTCTATTACAGCGTGTGACAGAGTCATGACCAGAAGAAAGGGTTACCTGCCTAAAAGGGGTAATTGACTTTAGAGAGGAAGCACCTGGATCAAGAACAAAGTGTTATCTATTAAAAGGATTGATACATATATGACAATAAGAGTATTATCTGATAAGCAGAAACCTCTCAATTAAAAAAAAAAAAAGCCATTATTGTAATGATCATCTTCATTGTGTTCAACTTGCCATAGCACTTCCTCCTCTCTTCTGAAGAGGAACAAATGTGGGACATCTTTTCATTCCCACCAATGGCAACTGAGACTTAAAAATAACAAGGTATATACTGGAAACTCCCTAAAGTCAATGGGGACAGGACAAAACATTTCTCTGTGGCCCCTGACTTTGAGCCTGGGCTGAAGTGGCCATTTCTTTTAGGATGTGACTTCTCCATCTCTGGTCATGGGTTATCAATTTATCTAGGTTGTGAAACAAGTAGTTCTGCCCCAAAGTAAGAAAAGGAACCGAAAAACCCCTTTATGGTCCAAGGACACTAGGCTTCATTAGTGATAGGCTTCATAACTTCTGATTTCTAAACTTCAGGGCAAGTATCTGAAACATGAATCCTTCGAAGCAGAAGTACAAGCAAAATCAAGGGTCATTCCTGAACTGGAAGAAATCAGGGCAACCCGATTTGCTGAGGGGCATTTTGCCCATGAGGACACCAAGGTAAACGTATGGTAGGACTCTGTAAGAGATGTTTCCGATTGTTGATTATGTTAGCAGAGTTTTAATTGATTATGCCAGGTATAAAGCTAGATGGAGCTGGGGTTCCTGCTTCTTGTCTTCCACTGGGGTTGGGCAGGAAAGATGGTGGGCATCCTCGTGTCCCCTGGGGCAAGAAGAAGAGAGCTATGATACAAAACCTATCCTGGGATAGCATCACATTCCTCCCTGGCCACCGCAGGATAACTTGGCTTACGATCAAGCCCTCTTCAACCTAGTTCCATGTGTCCCAGATGAACTGGCTTTCCCAAATGTCATTTCTTTTCTTTTTTTTTTTTTTTATCTGCAAAGTTTATTTTACAGAGCACACATACAAATGCGGGTGTAACAGTGTTCCAACATGTGACATCCCAAATGTCATTTCTAATGATTTCTTCTAACCTCAAAGTCCTTGTCCTTTAGACTCTTCAAACAAGGGATGCTCTGCCATGTGAATCTTCTTTGAAATATCACTCCCTTGTCTGTGATACCTCCTTCTCTTCACAGCCCACACGCTGTGACTAATATTAAAGTTCTCAAACTCCACTCTTCTTCTCATTTCGAAAAACTCCTAAAATACCTTGTCTTCAGAAAATCTTCCCTGGACACTGAGGACTGAAGACCACCACCACTTTGAAATCCATTACTAATGTATCAACTCTTTCCTGACTTAATTCACACAATTTTCCAACATGTTTGTGTTGATAGAGTCAATTCAGGATCTTTTCTGAATGAGTGGATTTGTTTGTTTGTTTTTACTGTTGAAGTATTTTTGAAATTGTCACACCAAATTTTGTGACATATTTAAAAATTGGTTCTGGTCTTTCTACATTTAGCATACGAATTCTAGTCCATTTTACTGTCAACAAAATATGGTCAGAGAACACAGACTTTAACCAGAAGAAAACCTTATTGAAAAGAAGAGTCTGTAACAAGAAAAATCTCAAAATTTATGTATTGATAAAAAATAGAAATTATTTTTGTATTGTTCACAGCTTTTTTTGCCCCCAATCCCCTACATTAATTAAAATCGTTGAGAAATATTTGAGACATTGTCACAACTATCAGACTCACTGTGCTCCATCAGACCACAGCCCTGGAGGATTCAGAGAGAAATGTGGTTTATGGGCTACTGTAAACAATGGAGTAGTTGAAAAATACAAGATTCTTTTGGACATGACATAGAGAGTACCTTCAATTTGACAAGCTATGTAATTCATGATCTTCTAAGCTAACCTGGCATAAAAGCCTGCAATTACATAGTCTCAAAATTCTCTTATTGCTTTGGTGCCACTAATTTCCATTATAAATTAGCAACATCGTAGCTCTTACTCTTTCCAGCAAACAGTTCATGCTAAATTTCTTCTATGACTTGCCAGTACTTAGAACACCCTCTGCCTGTCATCTACCTGTCAAAATCCTATCTGTTCCTCGAGCTTCAATTCAAATCAAGCACTGTTACATGAATCCTTTCCATCCTGTCTCATTGTTTATAATCATTTCATCCTCTAAAACCTCAAAGCATTTTTACATTTTTTTCTCTTATGGCAGATCACGTGTGGCTTGGTTTAACAGCTACTCCCATGCATATCGATTTCCTCCTTTAAATATCTGTTGAGCAATTACTGCACGGGAGAATGCAGTTTTTATCCAGGCCCCTCTCTGCACGCACCTCCACGTCTGTACCTGCTCCACAGTGGGTAGAGTGCCTCAGCAGTTTTGCGTCTCCTCCCAAAGGCCCATCTGGAAGAGCTGCACAAACTATGGGACCTGCTGGTGGAACTGACTCAGGAGAGGGGCGCCCTGCTGCTGCGGGCCCTGAAGCTCCAGCAGTACCTGCAGGAGTGCACTGACATCTTGGAGTGGATCGGAGACAAGGTACGGGACCCCACAGGACACAAGCGGGACTTCCCATCCCTGTCCCAGGCACCCCCCAGCAATCTAACGCAGGCTGCTCGGAAAGCAGTCAGGATGTCTGTTCCTGGACTTTGTTCCTTGAAAGAAGCAATTTTGGCAAAGATTTAGGGGTATCCTGGAGATCATTGACATTGTGGGTAGGGAAAAGTGCCCTAGGCTTGTCCCCGTCTACCTTCCGTGACCCTTAGCTCCTCCTCCTAAATTTTTCCTCTTACTCTGGGTTCAGGCTGAGAGTGTTGCCCCGTCTTTTCCTAAAGGCTGCCTCTCAGTACCTGTAACTAAGGAGGTTTCTATTTTTTGAAACACTTGAAGAATAATCCTGTGGTTAAGACTGAAGATACACCCAAGTAAGTACTTAGCGTGGTGCTTTTGCAGATACTCAGTGTGTTGAATTGAGTAGAATCAGGATGAATGTATTTTTCATGTTCCAGAACACAAAAGCGTGCTTCCAGGAGCTTTGGCCAACAATGTTCCTGTTCTTTCTGAAGGATCACCCCAAAGAGCAATGGCCCCTGGACCAGGGAGCCCCCTCAGGAAATACATTCCTGCTTCCGGCTCTTTTCTGAAGGGCTTCTCCTCTCCACCAGCCTCTCCTTCTGAGCTCTCCTGCGAGTGTGGGCAACGGTTCTGGGCATTTGAACTACAGAAACTTTGCTGGTGACTCAACAGACTTTCCTTGCTCGCAGGAGGCTATAGTGACGTCAGTGGAGCTGGGTGAGGACTGGGAGCGCACGGAGGTTCTGCATAAGAAGTTTGAGGAGTTCCAAACAGACCTGGAAGCTCGACGGGAGAAAGTGGACGGAATAAACCAGTATGCCAATGAGTGCGCTGAGGTGAGGTGGGGAGCAAAGGGTCAGTGCAAGGCGAAGGTTCTGGTATTCAAAACCTTCCAGCCATCAGTAGGTGGGACATGAAGGACATAGGACACTGTGAGAAAACAGGGATGCATGTCCCTGTGGTAACATGCCTGGGGCGGTTTCCTCTCCTGTCTGGGTCCTCTCTTGCCAGGCTATGGAAATAGAGGTGTGAGCGGGAGAGACAGTGTATGTGTGTGCACGTAGGTGTGCACGTGAATGTGTGCAGAGGGACTAGACCCACAACTTAGTAACTCCCGGACAGAACACCCATCACTCGTGTTTGTGCTGCACCCTTTCCTCATGAAGAAGAACTAGAATAAAGTAGCAAAGAATATAAAATAATGGTGGGCTATCATAATGTATATGATGTCATTATACATGATTTTTTTTGTGAGTGGGGGAAGGGAGGCAGTTTTACCGTCATTGACTTAAGACGATGTTTAAATAGATCTTCAATTTCACTAGGATATGCGGGAAAAATGGGGAGCCAGTCTGATTTTTTGTGCTGTAAGGGGATTAGAAATTCTGACCGTTGGCTGTTGTGCTTTTGGTTTCATCATCACTGCAGCTCTAGTACGGGACGCCCCTTCTGTATTAACGGAACCGAGACTTCGGGATGAATGGGTACTCGATTAGGGGAAGTAAACTCTCTCTCCGCCACCTTTGTCTCATTGCGAAAGTTTCTCGGTTTTTCAGTACTATCTAACACACCATCCCCAAACTTCAAACAACAAACATGTCATTTTTACTGGATTCAGTGATTCAGCTGCTCAGCTAGGCAATTCTCCTGATCCCACCTTAAGTGGCTGCACTTATTTGGTGGCTCAGTTGGAGTGGAGGGTCTAAAATGGCCTTGGTCCCATGTCTGGGGTGTTGGCTCTCACTTTCCAGCACAGCATGCTTTTTTATGCGTCAGTGTTCCAAAGGTAAGAAAGCTGAAGGGCATCTTGAGGCCGAGGGCCAGGAGCTCATATCATTTCTGCCGCATTCTATGGTAAGCCAGGCATAGGCCAACCCACATCCAAAGCCTGAGGAGATGGACTTCCCTTCTTGCAAGGAGGGCTTCGTGGCAAAATAACACGGCCATTTTATCTAATCTACCATAGGAAGGATTAATCCAATACAGAGTGTGTCCTCTGCTCTTGTGGGGTGGAACCCACACAGCTACAAATACAAAGGGCCATAAATTCGGCAAAGAGAATGTAGAAAATTCTGTCTGGAGAGGCTTCAGAATGGGAATGGAAATTCCAAGAGACAGGGACAGAAGGAGTAGAAAGACTTGGATGCATAGGAACTGCTCGAAATTGCCAAGTGTCAAAATAGGCTGATGCCATTAACTTAATCTAGTGTTCATAAATCTCAGTGCTTCAGATGGGTTGCAATGATGTATGAAATTTTCTGCAAAATTAAATGTGTGTGCATGTGTGTATAATTCTGGGAAGAGGGAAACCTCTCTTGTTAGATTCTCAAAGGTGTCAGGACCCCAAAGGAATTAAGAACCACAGTAGTAGAGTTTTGGAAAGTAAAGTCCTATTTCGCAGAGGGAATTTTTTCTTCCTGGGTTTTCAGGGGACTTGGCAGGCATCAACAAGGTGGAATTCTGAAAATAACATCATGGCTGGGCAATCTGTGTTAACAGTCTGCCCCAGAGCTGTGAGCAAAAGATAGATATAGTATCTGGTGGGTTGGCTTCTAGATTTTGGTAATGCTGAGGCACAGGGCTACGGTGAAGATTGGTATCTGGCTAAATGGTCATTCTCCATGCCTGGCAAAGTACGAACCAGTGTGAAATGAGAAGTGTTCAATGATTTTTGGAATAGGCTCACCTTTGCGTAACTCAAGCCCCAGTTCCCTCTTACAGGAGAACCATCCTGAGTTGCCCTTGATCAAGCTGAAGCAGGATGAGGTGAACACCGCCTGGAAGCGTCTCCTCAATCTGGCTCTGCAACGACAGGCAACACTGTCCAGTGCTGCAGACCTCCAGCGATTCAGAAGGTATGAATTTGGCCAACACATATGGGAAACTCTGCAACAGCACCATGTTTGTACTTGTGCTAGCCTCTGGCTACTGTTAGCAATTAGTGGCCAGTATCTCAAACCAAAGTAAATCATGTGCTGGCACTTCGGGAAGCAAGGGAGAGTGTAGTTAAGGCAGCTGTGACTCGCCCCATAGCCAAGTGTGTGATGACTGGAGCCCAAAGCAATAAGACTGGCACAGGTGAATTAGTGATGGAAGTGTTGTGGAGACAAGGAATGCATATTAGGAACTGGATGGGGGTGGAAGGTTGAGTGGGAAGAAAAAAGACAGTAAGAGCTGACCCAGATAGGGGAAGGATATCTAGAGGCCCAATGACCAGATAATGCCCAGGCCTCTACATCTCAATGGAAACCATTAAAGGCGAGACCTCTTTACATTACTTTTTCTAGTGAGTAGGAATTCAAGGTAATTGTTAGCTGAGTGAACCAGGGTGGTCTTTGCTCTGTACGTTGTTTGCCCTGGAATGCCTGCCATTTTCTTTGTTGGGACTCATCTGGCTGTCTGGCAGGGATGTGACTGAAGCCATCCAGTGGATCAAAGAGAAGGAGCCTCAGGTCACCTCTGAGGACTATGGCAAAGACCTTGTTAGCTCTGAGGCCCTGTTTCATAGTCACAAGGGCCTTGAGAGGAGCCTTGCAGTCATGGAGGACAAGGTAAGCCACTGTTGGAAGCCTGGCTGTCCTCTTGGGCTGAAAGAGGCATTTGGTGGGTACCTTGCCTCCAGAGGACACAGTAAATTCACTATTTTGATAAAGATAAATTCCTTATCCCTGAATATACTTCATCATTCTACTTCATAACTTATACATGGACATTGGATGTCCTTTATTTTTATTTAAATATACATACATGTTTTATATACTCTTGTGTTTTTTGTAATGTACTTCATGATTTAAAAACAAAAAGGATAACTCCAAGAATAGTTTCCTAATCTCATTCAGTACCTGCAGTCAGAGAATCTTTCCTTTGGTCAAACTACACCTCTGTCAGTTCCAGCTGAATCCTATTTCTTTTTGTCCTTCACTCAGTAGATAAGGGAAGAAATTTCTCCTTCTTCTTCTACTTCTTGCCCTCCTCCTCCTCCTCCTTCCTCTTCTTCTCCCTCTCCCTCTCCTCCTCCTCCTCCTCCTCCTCCTTCTCTCCTTCTTCTTCTTCCGAATAAACTCAGAAACACCTAGAGCATGTTACTACATCCACTTTTGGGTTCTCTTCTGAAAGCTGGAAGACCCTAGTCCCTATCCCTAGAGGAGTAGACATAGGCATGTTTGAACTTGGAGCAAGCCCCTACTCCTGACTGGCTCCCACCCTTGCTTCTTCCCCTTACAACATCACCCATAACCTCAACTAACTCCTCCAGAGTGTGTACAGTGGAGTCAGCCCACTGAAGGTCCCCACGTGCTGCTCCCTGACCATAAGCTTTGTCCCTGGAGCCAGTTTCTGAAAACTATCCCATTATTCTACTTCCTTCATTCTTGCTCCATTTTTGTATTTTGTATTTTTTTCACCTAATAATGAATAATAAAATCCCATAATTTGATGCATAATGATAATGAAATTTTAAATCCTAGACAACACCTGGTTATAGTTAAATATAATGAAAGCACTAATGGTAACATGTGCAAAGTCACCCATGTCTACATTTTTTGCCCCAGTGGCCTTGCTCCTTAGGAATTGTTCTCAGAGTGGTCTGGCATTGCTGGAATTCTTGGCAGAAATTCTCCTGGGCAAAAGTGTTTCTCTGATTCCCACAACAGTATTTATGGAAACAGTATAGAGGATGGTGAAGGACAGTCTGAGGTCTAAACCTTGCTTCTGACACTTAGTAGCTAAATGACTTTGAACAAATAAAATACTCTACCTCTCAGTTTTCACATAAAGGGGGAAATAAGAATAGTTTCTACCTCTGAGTATTATTTTAAAAAGATGATAAAACAAGTAAATGCATGTGAAGTGCTGAGCAGTAAGCACTCAATAAGAGACAAAAGTGGTCAGTAAATTATTATTGCTGATATAGTATGTTAGCATATTAATATAAAATTATCAGTGTAAGTATGTTATCAGTATTCATATGGTTGTTTTGTCAGATCTCTCCCATAAAACTTTGTCAGGATGAATCAGAGTGCTTGGATTTCCCGCTAGATTTCTTTTTCATCCCAAAGGTGAAGGAGTTATGTGCCAAAGCGGACAAGCTGAAGCTTTCCCATCCTCCAGAGGCATCTCAGATCCAACAGATGAAAGAGGATCTGGTCTCCAACTGGGAGCACATTCGAGCCTTGGCTACCAACAGATATGCGAAGCTGGAGGCTTCTTGCGGGTGGGGAATCCTTCCTCTCTGTTGCTCTATCTCTACAGGGTTTGGATATAACATCAAAAGCAGAAAGTAAGAGTGAAAAGATCAAATAATGAGGGACTCAGCCCTTCTGCCTACTCGGTGGTAGAGGCAAAAAAAGCTTTATTTGTTAAGGGAAGTTCTCTTCGGGCTGACATAACACCCAGCATGCTACCTCCCCCCCGCACCGCACCCCATCGGTCTTCCTCTACTGAGAAAGTTGTAGAATGCTATCAAGTGGCCCAAGGACCTGGAAAAGCAACTGAAGAAACATCAAAATCCCCGGCCCTAGCTTAGGAACTGAAATAAATTTCCAAGCTGAAGGATGTAAAATTAAATCTAGAATTATTTCCTGAATGTGGGTTAGCTTGCCAAAAAGCTGGGTATCATTTCAGTAGTTAATGATTATAGTTAGTCATTAAAACACCAGAAAGCAGTGTTTATCTTACTTTTACAATTCCAAATTAACTGGTGAGCATTTAATTATTTGAATAGGTAACTGTTTTAGTGGTTTTGTTTTTAGCAATAGAGTTAGGGGTGACTTAGGCGCACGAGGGCTCCTAACCTTAACTCTGGTCCCCTTTCCTGCCAGGTGCTCCCTGTTATTTATATGCCATGTCTTATTTACTGGCCTCGTTGGGAGTACTTTACTCCACTTCAAGTCCCTTTGGGGTGGTGTGACCTTGTGATGTTGGAGAAGCACTGCCCAGGTGCCTCATCATACAATGACACATCCATCCCAAGAGTCAGCAGCCTGGAGTCAAGGACAATCTGCCCAACCTGCCCCACTAAAGGAACCGGAAACCCATCAGGGGGATGGAAGGGATAGGATTAGGGTGAGGAGAACACTGCACATCTTACCTCAACCCAACCCTAACTCTTGGCTCAAAGTCCACTTACACCTGGTTTCTCCTTCCTGTCCTTTACCTTACCTTCCCTGCAGGTACCAGAGGTTCTTATCTGACTATGAGGAGCTATCAGGCTGGATGAAGGAGAAGACCGCTCTGATCAGTGCTGATGAGCTGCCCACAGATGTGGCTAGTGGGGAGGCCTTGCTGGACCGGCATCGACAACACAAGGTAGACAGGAAGAGCCCCCCCGCCCCCTGAGGGGGGAAGAGGGAGGGGCCAAGAGTGCCAGAAGTTTTCTTGCTGCATTTTAAGACATTTTGCCTTGTGGCCATAGCACGAGATTGACTCTTATGAGGAGCGATTCCAATCTGCTGATGAGACTGGTCAGGCTCTGCTGGATGCTAGTCACGAAGCCTCTGATGAAGTTCGGGAAAAGGTAATCCAGTTTAACAATGTGTGAAATTTTGATACATATTTAGCCCCACTTAATCTCATAATAATATAATAATCTCTGAATAGGACAAGAAGTCCTATGGACATCTTAATATTAACCCAATTTTCACATATTGCAACCTTCCTTCACATATTGCTTTAGCTAAGTCGAGCTGTCTGCAATTCTCAGGATGTGATGTGTGCTTGCTCACCCCTGAGCCTCTATTTCCTGAACCTATCTGATTTCATCAACCTGCCTTCTACCTAATTTGAAACCTCCATACCATTGTGCCTTATCATACATGCTCTGTTCTATCGCTCTTCCATGCTCACCTCTAGATTGAGGACTGCACCTATTTGAGGACTGCACCTATTCCTCTTTGCATTCCTTGATGCCTGGCACATGGCTGGCTTTGTTCTCTCCTATACAACTTCAAATCACACTGATTTTCCTATATCGGTGTTTCTCAAATCTACATTAAATAATAGGAAAGCTTTAAACGTCAGAATCCCACTGACTGAACAATCAGGTTTGCCATCATCCTAATCTCCTGGATCAAAAGGACCCACCTCAACCCCATCACCCCTGAGAGGTTTTACTTCAGTCACAGAGTCACAGGAACTCCTTGGGATGATCATTAAAATAAGATTTGTAGGCTTTTTTGCATCTCATTAGATTCCAAGCATAGCTTCTAGAGATGGTGGATGGATGAGGCTGAGATGGCCATATTTTGAATTCATCCAGAACTCTACGGGAAAAAATATAGTAAGATTTTTATTTTTAATAATTTCCTGCCCAAGGAAACCTAAATCCTTGCCCACATACCTATATTTCTGGGATTCTGAGAATCTGTGCTGCCTTTTTGATGGCGTTAACACAGCAGGGGTGCTAATTAGCTGGAATTTCTGGGGCAGACGTGTGAGCAGGAACAAAGGCTCTTACGGGTTTGAGAATGTCACCCTTCCCTTTCCTTGGTGGTTCTTATTTGCTTTCAGAAGAGAATGCGAACTTCTCAGTCGGACCATTTAAGTGCTCTATAAATGTCAATTTCATCAAGCGTCCACCTTTTTTAGACACTGCACTTCTCTCTGGAGCACTTTGTATAATCTAACAAGTACTTGGAGTAATTGTGTGCTCGTGGTATGTCCTCCTGGCATCCTGATCCCCCTCCCCACCCTTTAAATCTCTGTTTGGTATGATACTTTCCACACTTCTACTCTCTGTGTCTTCCAATCAGAATTCATCTTCTCTGCTTCATTTATACATATTAAGTGTGTTGTTGTATCTCTGCGATGCATTTAGCGCATTTTCTACTACAGTGTGTGAAATTTTGATGCATAGTTAGCCCCGCTTTATCTCATAATAATATGATACGTGTTCCTCACTCAGACCTTGAAGTCATCAGAGAAACCTGCTTCTTGTTCATTTGTGCATCCTTCCGAAGGCCTTGCACTTATTAGATGTTCCCATCGTCTCTTCCTTTCCAAAGATGACAATACTTGCCGACGACTGGGCGGCCCTGCTGGGGCTGTGGGACCAGCAGCAGCTTCAGTACCTGCAGTGCTGGTATCTGCATCTCTTCTATCGCGACAGTGAGCAAGTGGACAGCTGGATGAGCAGACAAGAGGTAACAGGAGGGGCTCAGCAAGTGTCCAGAAGCCATTTCTCCCACCCCTCATTTATCACATGACTGCCATGGTACCCTTCCAACTACTTCTGTGGGCTAGAGATTGTCTTAGGAAGTGGAGGGTGATCTACAAGGAGAAGATGAGATTGGCCTTTTCTGAGGCTCTTACAATTCCCTCATGAACAGATGCCTAGAAGAATATACACAAATATGCAGCAGAGGAGAATTAACCGTCACCGAACATAAGGCCAGATGAATATCAATCACATTGCTAAGGGGGTCAGGAGTAGAAAGTTGCGACAAGTCGGGCAAGGTTAACCAGAGATTTCCCGGAGGAGGTGAGTGGTCCTCTTGAGGCAGCACTGGGAGGTCAGAATGGAGCCTGGATTGGCCAGGATGATTCTATGTGGACAGAACCAGCGACAAAAGTGATAAAGTTGTGTGAGAGGATTGGAGAGGAGTCTGAAGTTTCTGCTCTTCGAGGTCGGTCCCTACACACCATCCCACCATATGCTAATCACTCCTTGCTCTCCCACTGTCTCCTCTCTATCCTTAGTCCTTGTCTCAGAGATGTTCCAAAAGCAGTATTTCTCACTGACAAGGAAGAGCTGAGATGTGTCTCTGTCTTCCACAGGACTTCCTGGAGAACGAGGACTTGGGGAACTCCCTGGGCAGCGTGGAAGCCCTTCTTCAGAAGCATGATGACTTTGAGGAGGCCTTCACCGCCCAGGAAGAGAAGATCACAGTGAGCTGTGGGCTCTGGTGTGGGCACTGGCTCCATGTGTGTGTGTGTCACCTCATACAACACCCGTCCTTAGAGAGAACCACTTGTCACTCTCAGACATAACATGAGGGTTCTTTTCAAAAGAGAAAACATCCAGAAAAGTAATCATACCCATTTTTATCATCACATTTCTTATTCCACAAAGCATACTTAGAAAGTTTTTAAAGCTTTTTAGCCATTTACATTTTCCAATAAAGTGCATGATTGTCTTATTTTTTCTGCAGTGTAAATAAATATTATTGGATCCGTATCTGATACAGAATCATTACTTGAAAGTTGGAAATGTGTTATTTACTTTTTTGGTTTTTTTCCTCTCCAGTAATGTCTCCATTTAGTTTTCTCTAGTAAAATCTAGATGTCCAAACAACATCTCTTCTTTTCCTGTATATCTTCATCTTTATGTTTTTCGTCTAATGCGACCACAGTTTTCCTGTGAACCCTACACTACAATGTCCCAGAAACTGGTCAATGTATAAGCAGGGTTCAGACAAGTGTGGAAGGATTTTATTGGTCCAATGTACTGTATATCTCTGGCTGTCCCCTAGGCTGGTGCTGGGTTTTAACTCACACATACTACCACCGGCAGCAGCAACAACCGTAACAATAGAATTCCAAGTCCTATCTGTTAATATGGAGATTAATATGGTCCCTTATCCATCCCTATGCTTGCTCTATTGATTTTCATTGGTAAAAGCTAACAGTATAAAATAAGTTATTGTTTATAAAATGCTATCATGTATTTTAGATTATTTTCCCATTCTCCACCACTTAATCTATCCTGAGTTCTAAAAATCTGAGTTCATGAATGAAAATGAGTAAAAATTTCTGACCCTTCTTCCCATGAGGCTAGAGATATAGATGTAGATATAAATATATATATCTATATATATGTAATAGGGCAAGAAAGGGAGGGAGGGAGAACGAAAGAGAGAAAGTGAGAGAGAGAGAGAGAGAGAGAGAGGCTGGCCACTGGACATAACTATATCCACAATGCCTCCTCTTGAAAATTTAAGAATAAGGTGCCTGGGTGCTTCAGTTGGTTAAGCTTTTGACTCTTGGTTTCAGCTCAGGTCATGATCTCCTGGTCAAGAGATCAAGCCCGGAGTAGGGCTCTGCACTCAGCATGGAGTTTGCTTGGGATTCTCTCCCTCTCCCTCCCCCTCTCCCCCTCCCCCCACATGAGCACATGCTCACTCTCACTCTCTCTAATAAATAAATAAATATAATCTTAAAAAAATTAAGAATAGATCAAATATCCACTTTCAAGTGACGTCAAAATTCATTTACTATAACCTATACTAAAAATATTATGGCATAAAAGAGGGTAATTAACTTGTCAAATATACATTTTGAAACAGAATTTGTAATAGAAATCAGAACTAGGTCCCAGATCTCTGATCCTGAAAGTTGTTCTCTTCCCACATTGCCATGCTTCCTCTTTAAACAGCTAGCCAAACAGTGGCCACTTACTCAGGAGCCACTGAGAGAAACCCCTCCGGTTTTTATTGTTTTTGTTTTTCAGACCGTAGACAATAATGCAAAGAAGCTGATTGACAGTGATCATTATGACTCCGAGAACATTGCTGCTCTTCGGGATAGCGTATGTTGGAGGTCCCAGACGTGTATCTGCCTGCCCGTGCCCTGGGGTCTGGGGAGGTGTTGGGGCTCAGGGACCAAGCTGGACAGCGAATCTCATGTGTCCATATTTGGCTTTGCTGACCATGAGTTTCATCTTGGTTTTTGCAGCTCTTGGCCCGGCGGGATGCCCTACGTAAGAGGGCTGCCACTCGGCGCAAACTCCTGGAGGATTCATGGCTTCTGCAGAAACTGTATGAGGACTCAGATGACCTAAAGAATTGGATCAACAAGAAGAAAAAGTTGGCAGATGATGAAGATTACAAGGTAAGCAGGGTTTTCAGACCTTGGGCATACTCATCAGGACTTAATTTCATGGGACTAGAGTCTTAGAGCTGAAAAGACGCTAGTGTTCAACAGGCAAGCTCTACCCTCTGTACAGAAGGGTCATGAGTCCCTCAAGGCAAATGCTTTGTTAAAAGCCAAGAATCTGGTTTCTGGATTTCCTGTGTCCCACTGCCTCTCACTTCCTTTCTCCGGCACAACTTCTTTTCTTTTCTTTTCTTTCTTTCTTTCTTTTTTTTTCCCTAAGATTTTACTTTTTATTTGAAAGAGAGAGAGAGAGAAAATGGGGGGGGGGCAGCGGGAGAGGGAGAAGCAGACTCCCCACTGAGCAGGGAGGCCGACTAGGGGGCTCCATCCTAGGATCCTGGGATCATGACCTAAATCAAAGACAGACTCTTAATTGACTGATCCACCCAGGCGCCCCTCTCTAGCACAACTTCCATAATGGAATGGGGGAAGGGAGGGACTGCTACTTATTTAGCTGCTTCTTGTCCCTCCACCAACTCTGCTGCTCCCCTCTGCACCCTTGTAATAGGAAAATATTGTGTCTGATCCCGGTGTACGTTCACATTTACTAAAAGCTACTAGGAACCTAAAGGTAACCTCAAGGTATGGCATAATGCAGAATTACAGGGTTTTGTAGCCAGAAGGGAACAACCCCTTATTTTTTATTGATGAGGAAACCAAGCATTTGAATTATAAAGTGACTTGCCCAAAGTTATCCATTTATTTAGAAGGGAGTTTAACATAAGCATTTGAGGCATGAATTCTGGAGAAGGTGAACCTGGGCTTGAAGTCTCGTAGTTCTGTCTTATTTATGTGACTTTGGGAAAATTTTTTTTAATTTTATTTTATTATAAAATAATAATATGTTAGTCACCATACAATACATCATTAGTTTTTGATGTAGTGATCCATGATTCATTGAAATTCTTGACTTCTCTCTAAGCCATAGATTTCTCTACCTTGGGGTTGTGTAACACATGTATTTTTCACTCACAAGTGTTATGTGAGTTGGGGTATATATTATACCCACCTATATATGCTCATACAATTTCACATTTACAGTCGAGGCTAGAATTAGTCTCTTAATTTCTAGGCCAATACTGATTCACAATATTTACTTTTTTAAACATCATTTAGTCTTAAATGTATACCTTGATCCTTTTGTTCCTATATATTTATAGAACTATGAGCATCTTATCTGTACCTTTCATTTTGTGAAACTTGGAAATATGTTTGTGTTCTTGGGAGGAGGTGTGGTTCCAGGGTACAGAAGGTGTACAGATCTTCTCCAGATGAGGAAATCATGCATCAGGAAGGAAATGGGAAAAATTTATCATCTTTCATGATAGCTCTCTGATTTTCTTTTTCTTTCTTTTTTTATTTCATTTTTATTTAAATTCTAGTTAGTTAACATATATGGTAAAACTGGTTTCAGGAGTAGAATGCAGTGATTCATCACTTACATACAACACCCAGTGCTCATCACAACAAGTGCACTCTTTAATACCCATCACCCATCTAGCCCATCCCCCTGTCCACCTCCCTCCATCATCCCTCAGCTTGTTCTCTATCATTAAGGGTCTCTTATGGTTTGCCTCCCTCTTTTTTCCCCCCTTCTTTTATGTCCATCTGTTTTGTTTCTTAAATTCTACATATGAGTGAGATCATATGGTATTTGTCTTTCTCTGACTGACTTATTTCTCTTAGCATAATACACTCTAGATCAATCCATGTCATTGCAAATGGCACGATTTCATTCTTTTTGATGGCTGAGTAATATTCCATCATAAATATATATTTATATATGTTATATATAATATATTTATATATTTATATATTTATATATATATAATATATATGCCACATCTTTATCCATTCATCAGTCAATGGACATTTGGGCTCTCTCCATAGTTTGACTATTGCTGATAATGTCTGATTGATTGTTAATTCTTGCATGGCCACCATATTCAAAATGATCTTCAGGAGATATCTAGGCTCTTTAGAATTACATGCATGAGTCAATTAGCCATGTGTGCGGTGTGGCTAGAAGGAGGGGTTGGCCACATGAGTTTGCTCACATTCTGTGCTTCAGTACTTAGACTAGGACAGTTCCCCTGTTTCCTCTCCTTAATGCAGTTGTATTTATAGTGAGAAGTAACCCCTATCCTCAAAATTTCTGCTCCCCATTCTTCAGATAAGTTTCCTTTATTTTTTGGACTTAGGATATACAGAACTTGAAGAGCCGGGTTCAAAAGCAGGAAGAGTTTAAAAATGAATTGGAAGATTATCAACGCCTGCTCAATACACTAGAGAAAACTGGCCAGGAGATGATTGAGGCTGATCACTATGCCTCGGACAAGGTGGCTGATCGTGTGGGTGAGGTTGTCAGCCTCTGGAAGGAGTTGTTGGCGGCTACAGAGCACAAAGGTGAGAAGCAGAGGTTTCGGTGAAAGGCTACCTCCTAAGTTCTGAAACCTACCATTTTAATCTCTACCACCTTGAATTTGCCTGGTGACTGCCATGAGAAGGGATGCCACTCATTTCTTCCTGTATTGAACAGAGTTTTTATAACTCAACCTAAGTTTACCACATTATATACATACAACTTTATGTTTTCTTCATGCATGTAGGTTTAAGTGAAATTACTTCTGTTTTCTTCACTTTGCTCCCACTTTTTTTTTCTTTCTCCTGAATAAATATTCCAGAGCCATGAATCCGGTATTGGCTATGTACCTGAAACTGGTGTCCTTAAATTAGGTTTTACCTACTTGGGTTCTATAGATGAGACAAGATATTATGACCCAGGTTATTAAAGTAGACATTAAAAGATTGTCAGCACCACATGTGATGTTCCTACAATATTTTATTCTTATAAATGGGACTTGATGACTTGCCTTTTTTCACCTATCTGTAAGTGTTCAGGCCCTGCTGTAAGCCCTTAAAAAAAAATTCCCACATGTCTGCTTGAATAATTTCTACTTACATTTAACCTCACCTCTCTAGAAAATCAGTCAGTTGTGGTAATTAACACAAATAATGAGGTTTTCCTGTCAATATTCTCCTGTGAGACACAGACTCCATCTGTAGACACCTGCTCTGGTTATAGAAGAGATATACCATGCTGATTCTTTTAGATATCATCCCAATTTTGGGTTTAGGAAAAAAAAAATCCGACTTTACAGTAACAGTAAGATGTTACTGCTATTCCCCACCATCAGGAGATATAACAATTGCTTTGCAGAAATAATGCAAATAATTGTTGTAAGGTCAAAGAATAAAGAATTTAGCTGAGAATGGTGTGGATAACCAAGGCATTTTCTGGAAGAGAGAACTGTGAGGCATGGCTCGCGATGAAGGAAAGGTACCAGGAAGGGCTGGCAAAACTCTGAGAAAGACATTTATAAAAAGACAGTTCAAAATTTCAAAAGGAAACAAGTCCCAATTTTATACTTCTCTTGGGAAATGCAGAGTTTGGGTTTGAATCCCTTTGAAAAGGAGGTCTCAATAGAGAGTAGCACATGACATATGAAAATACCCAAGATGGTTAGGATCTAATACAACAGGACGGTACCTCCTCAGCAGGGAATAAACTGATTGTTTATCTTTGTTTTGAGAATGAAAGCTACTATATTTAAAAACAAATACCATCCAAATTCCACAAATTTAAGGTGATTTTTTTTTGTATAATCACATGTGAGATGGATATTTCATTCTCATTAGGATATCAAAATATTATATTTCTCCTTAAGTTTGATGGAAGATATATTACTATGCAGTAAGAAAGAGTCATGGTATCTGTCGCATCCCTAATGCCTTATTCCAGGGAACCAGTTGTATGAAGCTAACCAGGAGCTGCAATTCAAGAACACTGCAGAAGACTTGGAGCATTGGCTGGGGGACATGGAGCAGCAGGTGGCCTCTGAGGACTACGGGAAAGGCCTGGCCGATGTACAGAACCTACTCAGGAAACACGGCTTCCTGGAGTCTGCTGTGGGCACTCATCAGGTCGGTTGCCAGGTCTCCGGCGATGGTAGACCAGAGCGCCCGTTCATGCCCTGAGCACACTCATAATAAGTAACTATTGAAAGAGAAAGAGAGCAAGAAACCAAAGGCAAAAATTCCAAAATTTTAGTTGGTCAGCTGACCCTTCCTAATTGTCCTGGGTGCAGTTGTTAGAACCCCATGGATGGGGTGGCTTTGTGGGCTCCCCTACATATGGCATCACACTCTCACTCCAGAAACTTGGGCTTTGTATTCAGCTCATCACTCGCTGCGTATGGGACCTTTGGTGCATCTTTTCACCTTCTCATATCTCTCTGTGCTCATCTGTACCACAAGGTTTGGACAACATTGCCTCCTCCTGTTCTGGCATTCTATGAGTCAAAGCTTGAAAATATCTTTAATCCTACTGCTTTATTTTTTATTTAAGAATATTGAACCCTATAGCTGTGAAGTGACTTCCATGAGGTCACAGAGAAAATTGGCAACAGGGCGAGGACTAGGATGTGGATGTGTAGGCTCTGAGTGTCAGGGTTATTCCCCTGACATCCCACCAGATTGTCACTTGAATTTATCCAGTAAGTTAGAGTGTGGACATTGGGTGATTTTCTGGAGAACCCAGTAGAGAATCCACTTCTAACTGACTCACTTTTGCATCCACAGGGTCCTAGCTTGTACTTAAAATTGACTCTGTTGTTCCCTAGAAAGTCCTACTGATCTGTCCTGTTAAAATACACTTTTATCATGTCTGCTCCTTGGATTAAATGGGAAAGACAGAATAATCTACAGGAAACAGAAAACAGGAAATGAACCCAGTCTCTTAGATAGCTCTGGGGATGGCTTGATGGAGGTGGAAACAAGGTAACAAAACAGTGAGATTCCTTTTGGAAACACCGCATTTTATCTCCTGGGCATTGTTCCTGGGATGCCACAAACTTCAGCCTGGGAAGCTTCTGTGTTAGTTACACCTGCAGCTCATTTGCAAGGGAGGAGGGTGGGAGAGGAAGCAGACAGAAAGGCTCCCTCTGTTTTCCTCGGGGCCATGGTTTATTAACACTCTCTGACAATTAACTACAGTTTATTAACACTCCTGACAGTTAAGACTCTGTATATGTGGTTTCCCTGATTTCCTTGGCACACTCTATATATATTCTGTCTTTCTGAAATGAGCCTTAAGAAGTACTTTCCTATAAATAGCTCTTGGGTGATGACGTGGTCCTCAATTCAGCATCCCCTGCCACTCTATCTCACGGATGTGATTAGAAGTCGTAACACAGTACTGGGGGGAGCCGATTCTCCCCGAAGCCTCCCCATGCTGAACCCCCACTCCTTTCTACTAAATGATGGCATTTCCTGACATCTGTTCTATCTCTCCCTCAGGATCAGGTGGACACCCTCATAGACCTGGCAGCATATTTTGAAAAAATAGACCATCCTGATGCTGGGAACATAAAAGCAAGGCAGGAGTCCCTGGTGTCCCGGTTTGAAGCTCTGAAGGAACCACTGAGCACCCGGAAAAAGAAGCTCATTGACTTTCTCCACCTGCATCAGATCTGCAGGGATACAGAGGATGAGGAAGCCTGGATCCAAGAGACTGAGCCCTCAGTGGCTTCCACCTACCTTGGTTAGACCCTGAGTGTGAGCGGGCTGAGCCATAGGAGAAGACCAGGGTGTACTGACTGTCAGAGAGATCTGGGACAACCTGGGACGTGGTCATGGGGGATACAGTTGGCTCTCAGCTCTTCCCCTTCACACTCAGGAACCATTTTCCCATCTTCCATAGAAGATTTTGTTAAAACTCATACTGAAGAGTTTATCTCTTAAAGCAAACCATGAATAGTGCCATGAATTGAAGGCCTCTGGGAAGAGGTGGAGGGCTCAGCCTTTTGTTATTTGCTCTAACTTAAGTTACCGCCAAGGCCCTTGGCTGAGCCATCATGGTTGGTGCTTGAGGTCCTAAGTAATTTTGTCCATAGTGTCAGTGCCTCCCTTCTGTGAAGATCTGAATTGCTACAAGGAGAAAAGGGGTGGGACAGCAGAGAAAGTACATACCTTCCTTTCCTTTGGGAGCTATCCATTATTGCCAGTGTTAGGATACATGTGGAATGCAAACTTCATACCCACATACTGGGGACATCTATGAGGAGCTGATGATGGTGACAGTGGAGGGTCAAGTCTAGGAAAACTTCTAGAAGAGAAAAGACTTTTGAAGTGTGGACGGGCATGGAGAGCTTCTGGAAAGTCATAGGGAAGGGAATTTTGAAGGGAAGGGGGGAACACATGGATGTGTGGAGATAGGGAGTTGACATCTAGAAATGGGGGGCTTAGAAGGTGAAGGAAATTAACAATGAATAGCATTTAGTTGGTGCTTGTTAATGTTAGCAGCAAGGGAGGCATTTTTTATAAGTTATTTCTAATCTTTACAAAGAAAACTTTAAAACATATAACACACCATTTTCATGGTGAAAAAATACCAAGTTAGAGGATTTAATAACTTTCTGACATGCATAGGAAGTAGTAAGTGGAAGATTCTGCTTTTTACACTATAATATGCTGAAACAAAATTGGTTGCATGATATTGAAAGTTCTAGTTGAAGAGTTACTTGCCTTTCTACCTATACAGTGACTTATTTATTATCTTTTGTAAAATAATGAATTGAATTTTTTCAATACAAAGAGAAAAAGGGAAGAACAACCCCAAGCAGAGTTAATTCAGACAAATGGTATAAATTTCAGGAAGCCCACTCAGGGATTACAGCCTCAAAGGGAAAAACTTGTAGGTCCAAGAGTTATAAAAAGTAGAGTAGCCTCTTCTTATTCCATACACTAGAACAATACCAGCCTTGAAATTATTTTTCTCTGTAGGCAAGGACCTGATTGTCTCCAAGAAGCTTCTGAACAGACACCAAGTCATCCAGGATAACATTGCCAGTCATGAGCCACACATCCAAGCAATAACGGAGAAGGGAAACAAAATGGTAGAGGAAGGTATGTATGGTTCAGGTTGAATTGGTCAATCATCACTATGTTAAACTTAAGGGAAGAAGTTTGTTCAATTTTAGGGCTTCATGGGAATTTAAAGGTATCCGATTCATGTTCCCTTTCAATGCAGAAATTCCCCTTGGTCATTTCTGACAGATACAATGGTGATAAAATATTGCTTATAGGGGTGCCTGGGAGGCTCAGTCGTTAAGCGTCTGCCTTCGGCTCAGGTCATGATCCCAGGGTCCTGGGATCGAGCCCCGCATCGGGCTCCATGCTCGGCGGGAAGCCTGCTTCTCCCTCTCCCACTCCCCCTGCCTGTGTTCCCTCTCTCGCTGTGTCTCTCTCTGTCAAATA